GCCGGGTGCGGCGCAGGGCCCTCCTCCCGGGTGCGCGTTTGGCCATGGCACGGCTCTCCGCGACCTCCAGCGGCGCCGGCGGTCCAGGTGCGGGCAGCTCAGAGGTTGTTGAGCTCCAGCAGGGTCTGGTCCAGCACTTGGTGGATGCCGACGTTCTCCTCTTTGGCACTGGCCAGGTTCTCTGTAAGCACAAGGGACGCCCACACGCACCCGGCCAGACACGCCATGCAGCACCAAAGGATTGTTCGGACAGACAGACCCAGCCACGCAGAGGTGTGTGCACACACACGTACACACGCACACGAATGCACACGTCAGTGCAATGGTCACATCCCCGGAGCAGCACCTTGGGCGCAGCGGTGCCCTGGCAGCAGCACGCTCCCCACGCTGCGCCCTGGCCTGGCAGCACAGCCCCGGCCACAGCAGCTGGGCTGGCCCCAGCACTCCCACTGCCACGTCCTGAGCACAGCCGACCCTGCCAGCACCACTTCTCTGGGCTCTGGGTCAGCACCTCCCTAGCAGGGGCCAGTCCCTCCACAGCGAGTCCTACCTGGCTGCACCGGCTAGCTCCAGCTGCTTGCAGAGCCCAGGGCTAGCACAGGAGGGGCCCTGTACTGAGCAGATCCATGGAGAGCAGGAGCGAGACAGCAGCTCAGGAGAGGAGGACAGGACACAACAGGACAGGACAGGACAGCAGAAAGAACAGAGCTGCAGGACTACTTCTAGCTGTCCTGCGCAGAGTGGGCTGGGGGCAGCCTGCGCAGCCAGCACGTCTGAGCAGCCCATGGCCCAGCCTGCCAGACAGCGGGATCAAAGGCTCCCTGCAGCACCCGGTGCTGGGAGACAGGGATCGAGGGCCCTGGGCTCCGCCCAATGCCCAGTGCCGGGAGATGGGGATGGAGGGCCCCAGGCTCCCTGCAGCGCCCAGTCCTGGGAGAGGCCAGGACAGGAACAGCCTAGAGCACTGTCCAACTCCCTGACATGTCAGTGCACCAGGGTAGTCCTATCCTGAGCTCTACAGCCTCTACCCTGGTGGGGCAGGCTGGGGCCAGAGCAGCTGGAAGTCTCTTCCCTGGCCAGCATCCCTACCCTGCATCTACAGCACCTCCTGCGGCCATATGGTTGAGGGCAAGTGA